GTAATGTTTGAATGTTTCATAAGAAATTGTGATTTTTCAATTAAATTTTAATATAATACATTAGTTAAGCTTAAAACTCACTGACCTTTCATAAAACCAAAGAACAAAATTACAGACAGTGGCCCTGTGTCAGGTTATCTGTAGGCTAGCCTAGTGTTGCACTGCCCATCCTAATCCATTAAGGGCCCACAGTATGCTGGGTAATGTGGGCCCAGAGTGGAGTGTGCCCCAACAGTGGGCCTGTGTCAGGCTATCTGTGGGCTGGCCCTGTGGAGTACTGCCCAAATAGAAACCCTTCAAGGCCCAGTGTGGGTTCAGTGATGTGGACCCACTGTGGGCTGGTTCATACAGGGGTATCTGATAGTAAACTCTCTCACCCACACAGCCCACACAGGCATGTTTGCAGGGAACCTAGATTAGCATTAGCACAGTTAAACTATAACCTACAATAGTGTAGCATTCTGATACTGGCTGGCTCTGACGGCTGAGGTGTTGGAGGCGTGGCTATGCAGATGACCACACACAAAGCCTCATGGTATGTGCACGCCCTCCTGAAAAGGCACGACTCATGTTGTCCAGTGGTTTAGGTTGTGTATACATGGTGTTTGTGTTATTCTGTGTTGGGGTTTTGTGTGTAGAGTTGTAACCATCATGGTGAAACATGTGTCTGGTGGTGACTCGAGTTCAGTGTTCTGTATGTTCCTCTTTCTATCAGTAAACAGCACTTCTTGCAGCAGAACCATGACGACCCTGTGTTTTTTTTCTTCTGCTGACACTAAAATAGTGTCTGTGCTGTACTGTGGTTTTAGCATTAGCACTGAGACACTGAGCAGTGTTATCTGATCATGCTAATGAGGTGTGGTCTGAGAAAAAGGAAGTTCCAGCATTAGAAATAGCCCCCTTGCTGTCTACAGACTACAAGAACAGTGAGGGTTAAAAGCTGAAGATGTTCTTAATGTCACTGCTGATATTCCTCTGCACTGAAGAACATTTCTAAGAACTTTTGATTGATTCATCAAGAAATTATGATTTTTCATTTCAATTCTTTAATCAGATAAAGAAAACAAGACATTATTACTACATAAAATAGAGTTTTCATAAAACTAAAGGAGGAAACTACACATGGCAGTTTGACTGCAGTACATTTTGCAGAAGCAATGACTGATTCAGTGAACAAGGAAGAAAACAGGCAGCGTATTTGAGAAAGTCAGCAACACTTTTTAACCACATACAGTTTAACAGTTCAAATCGTCAAAGCTCCTCCTGTTCTCTGCAGTCGTTCTTCAGCTTCAGGAAATGGACGTCGCTTAATGCAGGTTGGAGAGACTCTTATTGTTTGTGAAATGAGTTTAAAGTATTTTATTCATAGTTTAATGGGGAGAAAAATGAACTGATACATTTGTATTGTTTCTGTTATGAGTTTAGTTCTTGTTAATGAGATATTTGTCCTCTGTGATCATTTCTAATGTAAGAGAAATGCTGAGACACTCTGGTAGCTGAATGTATGTTTTATTAGATGGCTTTACTGAAATCACACAAAAGTGATCCAGTTTTAAATTGTACATATGATGCATATTTAGCCTTGGACAAAGTTAGTTCAGGAAATTGTAAATATTTTGGAGGTGGAAGTTGATTTAAACCCCATTCTGTTTGATTTTGGGCTTAGAAAAGTAACTTCACTGAATAAAAGAAGGCTGTATGTTATACTTTACAGTGTGGATGAACATTTCATTGTAGTTGGTTACTGATAAGATCCCAACTCTATATGGTTGACATAAGCTATTAATGGGCTTGACTCCAATTCAGTATTTAACTTGTGCACTACTATCTAATACAGACCACTTCTATAAACCTCTGAAGTCCTGTCATCATTATGTAGTTGGTGACAAAATGAATGGCATTTCCAGTTATCTCTGCTGTTTGGTCCTATGGTGAACTAAAAGACTGGTACGTTCTGCCACTAGGACATTTTTTTCTGAATGTTGCTGGATCCTCTGAATTAAGAAGATCTTAAGAATTAAAATATGACTAAACTAAACACTGCTTGCAATTAATTGATACCATAAAACAGACAACCTCAACAAAATACCCAACATAAACCAGGGGACATAGTCAAATGTGGTCTGGGCCAGCTAGTTGATGTACTGTAAAACTATAGTGGTTCATTAGACAGACCCCAGATCCACTACTGTTATTCCACTACAAGCTAAAACAAACACCATAACAAAAAAACCCTTATCTGTGAGCTGTTTCTCCTTATCTTCTCTGTTTTTGAGACATGATTATCCAAATGATTTTTCCTTTCACTCCAGCATTTTAGACAACATAATGGTACAATAATAACCCATAAGTTGTCAGGGAGCCCCCTGATGACTGCAGGCCCCTAAGCAGCCACTCACTCAGTGTTAAAGGTCCTGCGTGCAGCACCAGAATGAAAGACAGGGTGACAGGTTGGCTCCAGTTTTCCTGATGTTTTGGGTTCTTCAGACTCCCCACTGCTTAATGCTTAAAGCATTTGGTACAGCTACTTGATTTCCCTTTTCTTTGTCCATCTTACTTGGACAGTGCTGTCTGTTTGTTGGCTCGGCAATAGATTCTGGTGCAGCTCAACTATGTTCATCAGCTTCTCTGCCTTCTCAGCTGGAGCAAATCAACCTTGGGTTTTTAATCTGAGCTTTCTTTGCTCATATCAGGGTCTTGTGTAGCTGCAAATTTGAGCTGTGTGCTGTGGGTGCTTATGGACTTTTACATGTCTCTGCCTCACAACTGGTCTCCAACACTGCTGTCTCTGAATTTCCCCATTTGTTATCGTCATGCTTATGCTCAAAGCCCTGATATACAGTATGATGGAAAACTATTATGGACTGTGCTCTATATTTTACATCTGTGTCAGTATATTTAGAAGAGAACAAGATCTTTTCTTTGAGCCGTATCACTCAGTATAGAACTGTTGTGGCATTTCACTGTCATGCTGCTTAGTGCACATGAGCTCTTGGATTAGTTTGACATTAACATGTTTTGAAATTTCCAGACCTGATAACTCTGAGACCACCTCTCACTATTTCAGCATCACTGAAATTTGTGCACATATGTTGCTGTAGCTCATATCTGAGCTCTGGTCACTGATCTGTCTACCTTCAGTCTTAAACTCTCAATGCTGGAGCAATGAAAGATCCCAAAGGGGGAGCATGATATCATGTGTTATGTTTGATAGTGTTAGCTGAGCAGCTGCTGTGGACATCACTGGGTTGTGATGCAGGCTGTGATGATGAAGGTGATGGAAGTGTGGGTGGTGAGGTGGGGCTGATCATGTACTGTAAACCTTCTTACTAAGTACAGCATAACTAGAAAGCATTTTCTGTAGATCTGTGTCAGTGTCAGGTGTAGCTTTGACAGGAGTAGCTGTGGTTGGATGGACTAGATTAGTAGCTGATGAAGGATTAGCTAGTTGTGGCTGTGTGGCTGTGTGAGGAGCACTAATCACTATACTATCAGCATCTACATTAACCTGACCTCCTGTAACAATAAGTGCATTATGCAGATCAACCCTACCATCTACACCAGCTTTGAAGTGAAAGATGGTATCAATGACATCATTTAACTCTAACAACTGGGCCATTCCTGCATCCTCAGACTCTAACAAAGTCTTACTGTACATGAAATCTTGAATGTGCTTAATTCAGCTTTCCTCCTCGTCCATCTCAAGCATGGACAGATCCTTCCCTGCCACTGGACTGACACTCTTTACAAGTTGGAAAAGTTCTAGTATTATAATGTTCCCACACACAAATCCTGATACATTACCAGAATACATTACTGCAAATGTTAAGGCTTTGTGTCAAACTTACAGGCTTTAAATACATTAATCTTACTGGGATCTGTACAGTCACGTCTGCCACCAAAAATCCTGTTAAACAGGCTGTGACATCCTCAGTTTAAACAGTAAACAGCTCCTTCACTTCTCAGTCATGTACAAAATACACTCCCGCCATGTTTTTCTTTTGCAAATCTGGAAAACTTCACTATAAAAACAAAAACTCCACAGAAGAGTTCTACTTTACCAGCAGTGCTGCATCACTTTTATACAGTAGCAGCACGCACACATTAACAAAGTAAATACACACAAACTAACAATGGGCAGATTTTGCCACTTCTCTTGAACAGTTTGAGCAGAATTATGTACAAAGCACACTCCCATGATTTTAAAGTTTTGTGAGTTGAAAACGTCACCAGAGTGATATTTGTACATGATTCTAGCACAATGGTCCAGTCAAGCTGCAAAGCGTGCTGCAGCATCAACAATAGATAAGTGTAGGATGGTAAAATACTGCAAAAATGATGCAGCATCAGCAGTGAATGTGTATAGGATGATGAAATGCTGTTAGTTTTAATGACACATGATTCTTCCTTTTCCTGTTTGTGCTGATGACGATCTGATAGATGTGATATCTATCACTGATTGTGATCTTTGCCAGATCCTGCTTAAATCTCATGTAGAAAGCCTGTGTTTAGTGCCAGCTGAGTCACTAACCCAGCAGCTGGGCTCCACAACAATACCTAAGAACTACCCAGCACTGTGGCAATAACACAATACAATGACCCATCAGGCTGAACGAAGCATTTGGATAGAAAAGACAAGACAGTGTTTTTTAGAGTGAAGCTTTACTAATAATTTCTCTATAGTTCAGAGGATTCAATGACAATTGGGAGAAAAATGTACACAGGGCAAAACATATTGAGTATTTTTGTTCACCACAGGATTCAACAGTGGTGATTTTTGGGAATGGCATTTTCTTTTTCTACAGAAAAAAAGCAGCTCAGACCTGGAGTTCCTAATATGGGCTGACACTACAGAATGACACAGAAAGATAATGTAAAAGATAAAGGAGTAACTGCATGTCTGAACTCAGAGCTCTTATTCTGTAATGATGAGTGTATTTACAGATGTTGACGTCTGAAACAGCATTTTAGACTCTAAATGAACAGTTTCTACATGTATTACATTCTTACTGTATATGATCACACAGGCTGAACTGCTGATCTCACTCAGAATGTCTCTGACTGTTTCTCTGCTGTTTCTGCTCTTCATCTCTGGTGAGTCAGAGCTGTTACTTCTCACTGAACTCTGTACAGTTATGAGTTTATTTTTATATATAATACTCTGGTCACTTGTGCTGCCCCACCCCTCCACACACTCACACACACTCCACCTCACTACAAGATCGACTGTGGATTTGTCACATTGTGCTTTTTGTGCAGCTGATTATTCAAACTCAGCTGAAATGAACAGTCTTAGAAATGAGCTGAAGTGGAGACTTTATGCAGCATTTTTACTGACTGAGACCCAAACAGTAATAATTTACACATTTCTGTATTTTGTGTTGCAGGAGTTGTTGCTCAGAATGGGTGGAGTGTGAGATACAATCAAAATTATTTCTGTGCTCTAAAGGGGTCTGAAGTGACCATGAGCTGCACTTACACATATCCAAGTGGTTACAAGGTCCAAAAAGCTTTCTGGACCAAACAGTGGGGTCAAGGTTCAGAGCCTCCTGATCTGTCAGATGATCCAGAGTACAGTGGCAGAGTTCAGTACCTCGGAGATAAACACAGTGACTGCACTCTCAGACTGAGTGATGTGAGAGAAGAGGATCAAAGTAAATACTACTTCAGATTTATAACAGACCAAACTGGAGGAAGGTATCAAGGTGCAGAAGGAGTTGATCTTTCAGTCACAGGTAAGATCCATCAGCAGAAATAAGACACTGTACTTCATTCACTGGTGTTCAGCAGGGATATTTAACTAACACTGAAAGTCCAATTACTTCAAATTTCTTGCCTTGCAATCAAACTATTAGTAGTCTAGACAACTAATAAAATAAAATAAGATCCATCAATATATATTCTATTATGACCCCACATTGTGCCTAGAGCACTGTGGGATCAGTACATGTGGATAAAAGCATGAGGAACAGATAAAAGAGCTCATGAAACTATTTAATAAAAACCAACAACAATAAAAATGCTGTGCTACAAAATCCAGAACCACACTGGAAGAATCAAACTGTGGACAGGAACAAAGCACAAAACCTTATCCTCACCCTCTGACCCAGGAACTAGACAGAGTAGCCTTCTATGTGGTGTAAATCTATAGGCACACCCCTCTGACCTGTAGCTCTTGTAAGCTTAGGTTGGGGGTTCATGCTGGCAGAGACAATGTCTCCTGTAAACAAAGCTGCAGTCCCTTGTTAAAGACAGTTAAAAGCATGCAGGTAAAACACCACAACTAAAGTTCTCCCCCAACACAGGAGACAAGCTCATGTAAACTAGAGTGAAGGAACGACTGGTAAAATACCTAAAACAAATCCACACTTTAACACAAGAGATTATAAACACACTAAACACACCCTCCCTCTACAGACATCTTAAAGGGCTCCTTTTATGGCACAGAGTCCTCCCTCAATTACACTAATGATCAATTATCTGATTAGTCAGAGTTCCTCCACATGGATGATGGAACAGGCAGACACACCTGAGAGAGAGAGAGAGAGAGAGAGAGAGAGAGAGAGAGAGAGAGAGAGAGAGACTTGAAAAGGTTTGCGCTTACATGTAACAATCTGGATAAACTGTTATATTTTGAACATAATTTTATAGCATTTTAAGGTTAGATGACCACTGACTATTGTATGTTTTAAAAAAATACAAAACTTTACAAAACCTTTGAAAATATTTGTCCACAAAAGAACAATAAATCCATTTTTTTCATATAAAAATAAAGGAAATTAAACATACAGTTCAGTAAACAGAGATTAATGTGTGAAATGTAAGTTGTTAGTTGAAACACATTCATGATGTTGGTGTTTAAAATATCTGTCATTCATTTTTCACATCTACCTCATGAATCATCAAATGGTGGTGTGGAGCTGTTCTAGTATCAGGTATCATTCTACTGCAGTAGCTTAGCATCACATACAGCTTCAGCACAGCACAGGTTCATTCCAGATCACTGAAGCTTCACTGATACAAGTTTAGAAAAGAAAGACTTGAATTTGAGAAGGTAAACCTGAGAGACTGAAAGACTCAGTATTACTGATTATTAAAGTTACAGTTAGAGCTTATTTTGGTTTCTGCTCAGTCTCATCTGTTAAGTCTGTAACAGAGACAGACTGCTGGATATTGGGGGGAAAGACGGGCTTTACAAACAGGGCAGTGAGGGGGGGTTACAATTTGCATTATGATGCATATTTATACCCTGTTGATTATTAATGAGTGTTGAGATTTAGGAATTCTACTGTATCATTTTAAGTGTCATATATAAACCACAAAAATATTAAACTATTATTCAACATAAATCATTATTTTGTGTTGTAAATACTGACTTTAGTGGTGTTTTTACAATCCATGTTGTTGCTTCACTACTAAGATCACAAACAGTAAATAGAATTTACATAAAGTCGTCTACATAAATACAGGTGCCTGGATAAAACGCAACACAGGACCTCAACAGCAGCAGCATTGCTTCATGTTAATGTGCGTCAAATACAACCATTGTTTAAATATGTTGATCAGCTTTGCTACAGAATTTTGTGAAACTGCTCAGTTTGGTCAGCTGAAATACTTGGTGACCCCTGCTGGACAGGATTCCTCCAGCAGATCTGAAATACATTACATCAGTTCTTCAAAGCTCATCTGAGAAAAACACTGCTTAGAATTGGAGAACCACAGTTTATTAAGCATTTCAGAGTCAGAGTCTGATCTCACAGATCAGATAATCCTTTATTAGTCCCACAACAGGGGAAATTCACACTGCTAATGTTCTAATGTGTAATAACGGTCAATCTCACTCAAATCACTGTATATTTATATGTTATGTCCAGTGGTCAAATCTGAGCTGCTGCAAACTTCATGATTTAGGATTAATTTTAATTCTACTTTTAAATAGAAATATTAAAGACACCATTAACACACTCACTCAGCTAGTGTGAGTCTCCACAGTGTGAGTCTGTTTTCTCTGGTTCTCAGATCTCCAGGTGGAGGTTCCTGAGAGAGTGATAGAGGGAGATAAAGTCACTCTCACATGTAAAACCACCTGCAGTCTGACAGTCAGACCAACATTCACCTGGTACAGAAATGGACATCGTTTATCCTCCAGTACTGACCAACTCCACCTGCAGCCGGTCAGCAGGGAGGATGCAGGCAGGTATCGCTGTGCTGTACTGGGTCTTCGCTCTCCTGAGGTCACTCTGAATGTCAGATGTAAGTACAGATTCATTCATTCAGTCTCAGAAAACAAACTAAGCTGAGGCTTCATGCTGAACTGTCTGTGATTAAGTTTAGTCCAGCAACTGATCTCTGTTTATAAAGTAATATATCACTGAGTACCTGCAGTAAATATTCATTAGGATGTCACTGTAATATCTGTACAGACAGAACACACTTTAACTGTAAAACTGTAGTTAATAATCTCAGTCCTGCAGATTCTCCTCACTGAATGTTATGTTTTCCTGCTCCAACACTCCTGAGCTCATAAAGGACTTTGAGATTAGCTAAAGTTTTGCTGTAAGAGCATCAAAACATCTCTACTCTCCTACTGATGCTTCCTATGTTATGTGTAAGTCTGTATATATAATGCAATAATAATAGTTCATATTTCAGTTCCTAATTTTAAACAGATGAAAAAAATCCAGACGTGTACATTAAACAATCATGAATCATGATCTGAGTCAGTTACTTGGATTACCAGAGCACTTTTTCCAGTTTATTGTTTTCAATTAAGGATGCTTTAGTAAAGACCATCACCTACCTTAACTGTGTAAGTCTGATAAAACTCATGAAGTCATTAGTTTTATTAACCCTTAAAGAGCCAAGAAATATGTGGGAATGTTTCATTCAGAGTCTTTGGTAAAATTTATTTTAAAGCTGTAAGAACAGTGATCTTCATATGCTGAACTGAATGATGTTTGTCTGCAATAGAACATGAGCTACTTCTACAGGACATTTAGAGTTTGCTTTGTCAAATAGAAAAGCACATCCATAGAGTGTAATGTGTCTTTCTACCTCTAGATGGCCCAAAGAGCATCTCAGTGTCCGTCAGTCCTTCTGGTGAAATAGTGGAGGGCAGTTCAGTGACTCTGACCTGCAGCAGTGATGCAAACCCACCTGTGGAATATAACTGGTTTAAAGGAACATCATTAGTAGCAAAAGGAGAGACTTACACAATGAACAAGATCAGCTCTGTGGACAGTGGAGAATACAAGTGCAGATCCAGTAATGAACATGGAGAGAAACTCTCTGAAGCTCTAACTCTGAATGTTTTGTGTAAGTTTGTGTTTATTTGTTCCAGTTGTACATTATTTTGTAGAAGTTCTCTTTTATAAACATTTAATGTCATGTAATGATTACATCATGAAGTTATTCTGTGATTTCTAGATCCTCCAAAGAACATCTCAGTGTCCATCAGTCCCTCTGGTGAAATAGTGGAGGGCAGTTCAGTGACTCTGACCTGCAGCAGTGATGCAAACCCACCTGTGCAGAGCTACACCTGGTTTAAAGAAGGTGGAAGCTCACCTGTAGGATCTGGACACAGTTACAGGGCTCTACAGAGTGGATCCTACTACTGTGTGGCTCAGAATGAACACGGATCTCAGAAATCAGCTGCAGTGACTGTCACTGTAAAAGGTATTAGTGATGAAAACACAACCTGAATAACACTTAATAACATTCATAAAAATTAGCATAACTTTAAACTTCAACATTGATCTGAACACAGGAGTTGGGAATTTAGCTCTATATGCAGTTATTGGAGTCACAGCTGGATGTGGATGTTTATCTGTTATCATTGCTGTATTTTATGTAAGGTAAGCAAACAAATCTTTAAAAAGAGCTATGAAAATGAATTAATGTAGATTATTAGACCTTACTTTACTCTTTTTATCACTGGAATCAGTTTTTGTAGATTGTTATTAATATTAATATTATTATTTTCAGGAGAAAGCGAAGAGGCAATTCACTTGATAATGCAAACCAAACACAGGCAAGTCAGTTACTACACAAAAACATGTTTAGCAGAATGAGGTTTAGTGACATCTTTACTTTTGTTGTAGCTCTGGGTAAAATCTGTAGTTAAATTCTATAACTACAGAACAGTTTAAGCTACAGAGATGATCCACATATCAGACCATTCAGCAGACCTGGCCCAAACTAGCGAGCATGACATCATTGAGCTGTGATGTCAGCATCAATGAGTAATTTGGCTTAGAAAATCACCCAAAATCCTGATATTATTACGTTGCTTTTATCCTTCATATTCCAACAAAGGGTTAAAACAGAGACATGATTCACATCAGATCACTCATCAGACTCTGTCCTCACAATCTTGAGTGATTTCATCCACCTGTGACCATCCATCAGCCAGCAATCCAGCTCCAAAATCACCCAAACCCACTCACTACTGTATATTACATCTCTGCTTTTAGTCTTCATATTATAAACCAAGGTGTAAAAATAGCGACAGGATTCACTCAGAACACTCAGAGGAACCTGTCATCACCAGCCAGAGTGATAGAAACCAGCTCTAACATCCCACAACCCAGAAATACAGCACAAACACACAGCCAGATCACTGTAAAACCTGCTATTAGCTCTCGATTTAGCCTTCATATGGCAACAAAAGACTTCAAACATCACAGCTCAGCAGGACTTACCCTGAGTCCAGAGTGACTATCTGAAGTTTCAGTGAAGATCCAGTCAGTAATCCATTTAAAAAAACCACCATTCAGATCCTGCGTTTACCTCCATTTAAATGGCCAATTTAAAGTAACAGTAATCAGAATAGAATTTCTGATAGTCAGAAATTTACAGATAAACACAACCACATATATATAACCACACAAAACTTGAATACAACATAGAAACATGACAGCAAACACTAATCACACTCTACATGCCTGTGTCAGTGCTGAGAGAGTTCAGGGTTCAGGGTGGAAAAACAGACAGAAGCTTTATCTCAGTCCAGTCAGTGGACCTTACATGTTAATAAAATCTATGATCTGTTCTTGATGTTGGTCAGTGAGAACTCAAACTGCTTATGTTCTCTAACTCTCCTCTTTCCAGAACGTTGACACTAATGCTAAGGACGACACGTACACAGCTCTTGACCCCGTGTCCAGGTCCTCTGATGATGTGTACTGCACACTCACAGTAAGTGTCTCTTTAGTGGGTTATTGTAGAGTAAACACTACACTGCAGTGTAGAGGAGCTCCAGCAGCTGGAGTCATTACAGATCTTCACCTGTAGATGGCAGTACTGATCTAAGACGTGTCTGTAGAGAAGCACAGGTGTGGAGTAAGAGAGCTGTCTAAGGTGCTGATTCTGAGCTCTGCAGTTTGGGCTCTACAGCACAGTCTGTGATTCAGTCTCAGCACCTCCACAGAAACACTTAATGAACTACAGACCAAAAATATGGAAGCAAACAATGATAATTAAAGCTTTGTGTAGATTTAAATTTAAATAATTTGGGAACAACTGAACAACAGAAATATAACCACAAAATTATAGGCTCTTCAATTAGTTTGTTGTGCTGCACTAATACCCTGATTTAATATGTTAAAAGTCTTCACAGTATTTGCTGATGATCCATTACGTTCACCAGTTCTTAGTCAGCAGCAATATATATATATATATATATATATATATATATATATATATATATATATATATATATTTATATTATTTATTTTAATCATTCAAATGTTTTGGTCTGTAGTGTAAATGTTCTTGATGTTTATCAGTGAGAACTCAAACTGCTTATGTTCTCTAACTCTCCTCTCTCCAGAACGTTGACCCTAATGCTAAGGACGACACGTACACAGCTCTTGACCCCGTGTCCAGGTCCTCTGATGATGTGTACAACACACTCACAGTAAGTGTCTCTTCAGAAACTCAGTTCAGTCAGACGTTCAGATTTATAAAGAATTCCTACAAAGTCCACATTTCTTCATTTCTCCTCCTCTGCTTCATTCTCTCTTTCCCTCACACAGACTGTTCATTCCAGTCCTTCTGATGATCTGTACTCAGCTCTGGATCCTCAGTCTCGCTCTCCTGAGTACGACACTCTAGCAGTGAGTGAATCCACTTGTACTGATGAGTGTTTTGTAGCTGCTGGAACTGATAGACTTTAATCTACAGCAGCGTCTCCACTTTGGAGTCTCCTTCACACCTTCATCATCTGTGGAGTTTGAACTGAGACAGATCTGTTTTCTTTGGTCTCCTGATGTCGTCTTTTATCTGTTCTTCTGTGTTAAGGTTGTTCTCAGCTAGTGACATCACTGGATCACTGGAAAGCACTTATTATTATTATTATTATTATTATTATTATTACATTTTCCCCAATTTTATCCCCTAATTATTTTGGTCATATCCAACAGCCACTAGTTAGAACTCCCCCAATCACATGATACCACCAGCACTAGGAGGGTGAAAGCTTACACAGGCTTCCTCTGAGACCTGTGAAGAGCCGTCGTATCTTTTTGAACTGCCGCTGATGCATCACTGGACAGCTGAATGTGCTCAGAGGAAAGCGCCAACTGCCAGCTCTGTTACACCAGCTAACAAATACCTGTGCTGACTAGCATCACACTGGGTCATGGGGGGAGATGGGGGGGCATCCAACCCACCCAGAGAGAGCGAGCCATTGTGCTCTCTTGGACTCCCAGCCACGGATGGCTGTAGTATCACCAGGGATTCAGCCCACAATCCCCTGATGATGGGGCCAATGCATCCAAAATCTCAGAAAGGTGTAGAAAAAATCTGTACAGTAAACATTTTCAGATTATAGACAAAACACAGTGATCTATCTGCAGCCTATTAGCGCTACAAAGTGTACAGATACAGTCATGTGCAAAAGTTTGAACCTCCCAGTCAAACAACATGTTTAGGTGATTTTCTAAGGGAACAAAACTAAATATGGCGTTTTTCTTTTTTTCTTGAGTCTCTGACCCTTTAGTCTCAAAATGAATGAACTGTTTATCTCTCCCTTTATTGTCCAGTGATGCTGTGTCTCAGAGGAAGCAGGTGCTGGTACTCCCCCTCACAGACCGGTAGAGTCCTGTGATTGGGAGACCTAGTTAGTGGGAGGAGACTGAGAGTGTTAAATTAGTGGATCATTTTAGAACGAATCATTTACAAACATTAAGAACAGCTTACAGATGATAAATGACTCACCAAGTAGAAAAAGATCTGTTCTCAGCCTTAATCAGACTAGTTCTCTGACATGTTACTGAATAATGTTGATTATGGTCAAATATATCTGAAGAATCTTTTATATATATTTACATTTTGTTTTTTAAAACATAATTGTGTGGCTGAAGGAGTGAAACTGTTCTTTGTGTGTAATAGAGATACATTTTATTAGTTTTTTGTCTTCCACATTGTTTCATTTCATCATTTATTATCATTTTATCTTATTTTTTATTAGCAGATCTTTTTTATGTTTGCTGCAGTGTGATGTATGAAAACTGCTGTGTAAATGAAGCTGTTGCTGGGTTTATTTTACAGATCTTACTGTTTCAGAACTGAAGATCATTTAGGTTCAGTTTGGAAAACGATGCAAGCGTTCATGTTCTTCTGTTTGAGCATCATTATCTTTATCTCTGCTTCTTCCAGACATCAGTAATGACATGTTCTCTATGCAGGTCTCAATGAAAAAGAACGCTGTTCAGTTCTTAAAGGTTCTTCCATTTGGTGACAAAACAGACTAAAGAGAAAAATCTGTATGAATGAACTGAAAACAGATCTGTGGCACTCAGGATGTTGATTTAAGTGTGTTTAACCATTTACTACTAAATGCTCGTTACACATTCTTAATATTTCAGTATTCTGAGTTTGGAGTTAGCTCAGTTTAATGAAGTCAGGATTATTATCCTTCATTTCAGTTGTAGTTACAGACCGAATTGGACAGAATTCTTTGAAAAAGTAGTGATGGCTGAATACTGTCCTAAATACACTGTCCTAAATGTGTCCAGTAATGTATTCCATTACAATACATAACTAACATGTACAGAGTAGATTTAGGATACATGTATACATTTAGAGTACATACTGATTAGGCACAGGGGAAACACTCTTCACACTATTCCTCATATAATGTTTCTGTTAATAAGCTTCATGAAAATTTCACCTATTAAATAGAAACGACAAAATACTCAACATTATTTTGGCTTTTATCACCTGGTTCAGTCCATAATCCCACTGCTGGCTCATAAATAACTAAACAATTCCCAACATCCCAATAAAAAAATCTTGAAAATTTTACTCGAAGTGCGATTTTGAGTTAATGACATGTATGTTACTTACCTCGAAACGCAACGCAGCACAAACCAAAGGCTTTGTGAAATGTTAACCACTGCACTTCTAAGATATTTAAACTTTCAACAAAGGCCTGCTCCATCTGTTACCCATCCCCTCTTGCCCATGGTCTCACGTTTCCCTTGACTTCATCACAGGGTTGCCCCCGTCCCAGGGCAACACGGTTATCCTGGTAATCATTGACCGCTTCTCTAAGGCGAGCAGATTTGTTGCTCAACCAAAGCTTCCATCAGCCAAATTATTCCTAGAGCAAGTAATCAAAGTCTATGGGTTTCCTAGGGATGTTGTTTCGGACAGAGGACCTCAATTTGCCAGCCGGTTCTGGGTAGCCTTTTGCAAGCTAGGCTTTTATCTGTCTTCCACCCTCAGTCAAATGGCCAGACAGAAAGGGTTAATCAAGATCTAGAATGCACCCTAGAACGTGTCTGGCCTTGTCAAACCCTTCCTCCTGGTTGGAACACCTGATGTGGGCGGAGTATGCACACAACACATTATGGCACTCGTCCCTGGGCATGTCGCCGTTTGAGTGCCAGTTCGGGTACCCTCTGCCCATGTTTGCAGAACAGGAGGAGGATGCCAGAGCCCCATCAGCAGGACGTCTCGTGGCCCATTGCCAGGCTACCGCAACTCAAAAGTGGGCAGCAGACTGGAGATGGCAACACCATCCTTCCACCCTGGGCAAAGAGTCTGGCTGTCGGCCAAAGACCTACCTCTCCGAGTGAAGTCACAAAAATATCGGACCCTTTAAAGTGGTCCATAGGGTCAATGCGGTGTCATATGGATTGGCACTTCCCCCAACTCTTCGCGCCAACCCCACATTCCACGTTTCCCGCCTGAAGCCCATTTTGTGCAGTGTTGCGGGGCTCCACCCCCTGCCCTTCGATTAAATCGATGGTGCACCCGCCTACACGGTCAAGTGCCTGCTCGATGTAAAGTGGGGGCGGGGCAGCACCCCCCGCTACATCCTGGACCCTGAGCTTATCCGGACCTTCAGGTGGGATCAGGGCTGCAGGGTTGGGAACGTAGGGTGCCGTTCCTCAGGGAAGGGAGTCCTGTAAGGGCTTGCTCCGGGGCTGTGGTGCTCCTGGCCACCAGAGGGAGACAACGCGCTCCTCCCAGGTCCAATCAAGCCCAATGTACTACACCTGGGCAGAGGCTTCTTAAGCACAGAGAAGGAGACACACATTGCTGTGTCTTTGTCTCATCGTAAGTAAACAGAAACGGCCGGTAATTTGGATAAGAGTGCTGAGAGTTTTACACTCCCCCTCACTTTTTGAGTTTCTCCAGCCTCCTCTTGAGGTTTCCTTCTCTGCTCTCTGTGTCTATATATATATATATATATATATATATATAGCCACGAGTGGCAATCTGCGGGGTCCAAGCACCTGGACGACATCTAGGAGTAAAGTAGTGGCCCCTGGTCGTAGACTGCAGCAGATCTTTAAGAAAGTTCTCTTTTTCCTATGATTAAGGCCACTAGGTGATACATCTGCTACAGTCTACACAACTCAGTTTAACATCCATGATGGGGATTCAAACCCACAACCCTAGAGTTTAAAGGCAGAGGGTCTAAAGCTGAGCCACAAGACGTCTGTGGCAAAACTGAAGTTTTTGAAACAATTTATTGAAAGGGTGCAACAAGTAACCACACACCATTTAGGACAAAATAGCAGCATAAACAAATTTCATGTCACTGGACATAGAAGGCAGCAAATCTTTGGATTTTTAAGAAAGACCCTTTCTTAAGATAATTAAGCATGTGTTCACAACAACTGCTAACAGCACCGTCCAACACCAGTACAGGGAATCAAATCCACGACCTTAATCTTCAAAGGTGGATGTTTTCATGGTGAGCTACAAGAGGCCCAGAGCAGACCTCTTTTTTTTTTTCTTTCAGAGAATTTATCATTCTAGAGCAATAAGGAACCTAGCACCATCTTGGGAATTAGTTCCCACCATGCAGTTACTATTAAGTAGTGTAATTTCAGACGAAATCATAATACACTGTCAGTTTGTCATTTTGTATATTTGTGTCAAATTTGGTTATATTCAGACAGTTATTGGTGTATTTTTAGCCTTTTATGGCAGAATAAGCCAATTCAAACCAAATTATTCAAATCTTCAGCCACACTGTGCTTCAGTCATGATATTTTCAATATGATTGTTTTAAGAAAAATCTTATTTGATTTAAACTCAAGAATTAGTAAGAAATGTCTATTCTCCATCTTTTTTCAACCGTGATATTACTGAAAGTTTTTTTAAGACTTGTATTTGGAAAATTGTTAGGCTTAGTGAAAAACATAACATTCAGAAATGCTCTTCACTTAAAGACATACAGTAAAGCTGTATGCTCCATGTATATGTCAACAATGACGTGCAGTTACTGATTTGGCTCCCAAATGGCCAGAGAAAAATCTGACCAAAATGACCGAACTGATTGATCCATAACTTGCAATAAAATGGTGCATTTTTTTAACCTTTTTTATTTTAAAAGGTTTTTAAAATAATTATTGATCTTGAGACTTTGACGGTTGTTTAGAGACCAAGTTTGAGACGTTGCAAAAACATTTCAGCAAGCAGTATGAAAACATCAGTTTTCAAACTCTGATGATTTACAGAAAAACAATAGAGTTTTTTAAAAGACTTGTATTTGCAAAATTGTCAGGCACAGTGGAAAGCAAAAAATACAGAAATTGTCTTGACCTAAAGACAGAGTAAAGCTTTCCACTAATAGTATATTTTTTATTAATTAGTTGAACATTGACATTTGCAGTTACTGATTTGGCTCCCTCTGGTGGCCAGAGAAATATAAATATAAAACACCTCTTGCTCTAATTAAAATTTCCTGAAATCAAATTGTATGATTTCCTGTACAGTTAAGCAACCTACACATATTTGCAAAGTATTAATGTGTCATTAAGATGCATAATTTGAAAAAAATTTTAGTCATGTCT